GGGCCGGCGAGCGGGGCGTGGGGCTGTGCGGGCACGTGCTTGGGTTCGTGGGAAACCCGCTATTTTGTGTGGTGATTTGGGGGCGTTTGTATGGAAACGTTTGTGGAAATGTGGCGACAGCGGGAGACCTGTGAGGATTGGGACCTTTACTGTGGAAATGTGTGGGATTAGGGGGTTTGTTCCTTCGTTTGTTTGAAAACATATTCTGTGTGGTGATAAAGAATTAAAAAAAAAAAAATATTGCGACCGTGTGTAGAAAACTCGTGATTTGAGAACTGTTTGTGAAAATGTGTATGGAAATATGGTGATTTTGTATAAAGAAAATGGGGTGGATATTTTAGGGTCATTGGGGAATTTTTTTTGTGTGACTGGTGTGTTGTGGGGCCGATGGAAAATTGTGTGGTGGTTGGGTAAGTGTACTGAAACGTGGTTATGTTGTGTGAGGGAAATGGAGTGGGGATTTGGAAACCTGTTTTGAGGGCACGTGGTGGTTTTTGTGTGGAAAACCAGCCCTTTTGTGTTGTGATGTGAGAACTCTTAATGGAAGTGTGCTGCGCCGGGTCCGTGAGGGTCATCTTATCCGGTGCGGTGCGGTAAACGGTGCGTGCGTTTTCACTGGCGTGAAAGTGTCTAACGCGAGTCTGCCCTTTCTCGCAGGCTGCTCCTTGTCCCCCGTCCTTGGAGCCGGCGTGTCAGCAAGGAGCCGTGGCCAGAAAGAACTGGGGCTCGGGGCCGAAGGGCCCCCAGGGGCTGTCATTTCTGCAAGGGTCGCTCCAGGGACTCAGACGGGTGTGCAGGGCCTGCAGCGGTCCCTTGCAAACAGCCAAGGCACCATGAGCAACAGGTGAGTATGTGTTTTTGCTTTGACACGCTCACTGGACACTCAGCTTCTGCCTGGACACACATCGTCCATGTGCCCTGCTGCAGCGGTAACACCTCCAGTGACGGCAGCTCTTGCCTCTAACTGCTGGCAGCACCCTCCACAAACAGTGACCTGCACGTTGGCTCGCAGGATACTGGGGGCCCAGACCCCACAGATTTTGTATTCTCCCTCCCTGTGCCTGGACCAGGTGCTGAGCACTTTGATCTGCGCAAGTTTCTGCACTTGTTAGCCACACAGCCCCTGGACCGTGTTCTATGTGATAGCTTCTGTCAGCCTCTCCTAGTCTCATGCTTCTTCAGAAGGCTTCCGTGAGATCCCTTGTCCTGTCCCAGTCTGTAGCAGGCCTGCACCACTGTTCCCCAGGTCCCTTTAGAGAGTTGTAGGGGAGGGGGGAGAATGCTTCTTTGCCCCCTGCTCTTTGCTTCTGTCAGCTATAAGCTGTTTATTTGTTTTTGTTTCCCTTTTCCCTCCTCTGTCTGTGCTGCTGCTGCACAGCCCCTCTGCTTCACCGTGGCTGTGTCATTCTTGCTGCAGCTGCTCAGAGTCTGCACCTGGGTTGCCCTAGGGCTCCTCTATGTGCACCACTTCCTACCCCGGGCCAGGAGACGAGGGCAGGTACCAAAATTGGCCCTGTCTCGTCCCGGTTTCAGGTCCTTCAAGCAGGGCAGGAGCCTGGAGATAAAGGCAGGGAGGGGGGGAAGGCCTCTCAGTGCTGCCACCCTGTGACTAATGATGGGCTTTGCAGCCAGGAGACAAAGGGCAAAAAACTCTGCTCTGTGTCAGCAGGGATCCGGGTTTCCCTCTTCCTATGGAGAAGTGAAACATCTGTAGGTGGCCCTGGCATTCCCTGCAGAAATGGGTCACCTGGTGGGCTGCAGAGGCCCTGGGGAAGGGCAGCAGGTTGGGAGCCCGCAGCTAGCAGCCTGTCCTCTGTTACACGCAGATCTGGGGGTATGGGTCCCTCTGTCCCTCAGGAGTGTGCGCAGCAGCAGGGAGCTGGCACCCCCCAACCTGAGCCCACAGCAGGCAGGCAGTGGGTGGGGGGTGCTGGGCTTTGCTCTACTGAAGGAGCTGCTGCCTCCTTTCAGGGGCAGGGAGCTGTGGGCCTGGGCCCTGTAACCCTGGCAGCTGGGGGCTCCCTCCGGCAGGGCTGGGGAGGTCAGGGGGGTATGCAGGGGAGTGAGGGGCCTTTCACTTTAATCATGGATTTTGGGAGTTTTATCGGAGAATTAGCAGGGGGGTTTATTTATCGGAGAATAAGCAATTTTTTATCAGGGAAACCAGGATCTCTGGTCATTAGAGCAGCGTGTGTGAGGTGGGTGCCCACAGTATTATATGGTGTGTGTTGCACACACACTTCCCGGGTACTGCTCTGAGACAGGATCCTAGTGTCAGAGCCCTGTGCCTGCCATGGGCAGCAGGAGCACTCCCACAGCAGCCCAGCTGCAGCACTGTTGTGCGCTCCGCTCCACGCATGAGTGGCAGCTCGGAGCCAATGCATTTGGGGTCGTCCCTTAGGGTGGCTCAGGGTGGAGCAGGCTGAGGGCACTGTGCATGGCCCTTGTGGCTGCCAGGCCGGCACTTGCCCAGCGGAGGCAGCAGTGCTGTGGGTGGGATCTCCCGTGGGCACATGTGGGTCAGGGCATGGAGTAGCATGCAGGGTGGGTAGGTGTTTTGTGCGCAGTGCCATAGCCTGGCCGCTCCATCCTTGAGCCTTGGAGCTGGTGCTGCTGGAACGCTGCTCTGCACCGCCTGCCCCGGCCCTCCTACTCACCCCACGCATGAACAATCACAGCTCTCCTGGGGTAGCCAGTGCAGCGGGGCCATGTGGTGCAGCTGTGGCCAGAGCGGTGGTGGTGTGGGTGGGAAGGACCTGGCACCGAATGGACACGGAGAGGGGGTGTTTCGGTAGTGTTGTTGGGGAGTCTTTTAGCAAATAGGAAGCTAGGATTCTGGACTGGTCTAGGGATTGTCACGACACCTCCTTCAATGAGTGATAGAAAGGCTTTATGTACTAGAAGTATTCAAAGTCAAGTCAAATGAGCCCAAACCAAAGCAGAGTCCAGTAATTAGTTATAAGGTGATGATTTCTCACCAAACAGGCATCAAAGAGAAGGTCTGTTTCTCTTCAACTTCTTGTCTCAGACGGCCAGAGCCGACTCGAGGTGATTTAGAAATTGCTCGTTCGTCAGGGCGGGCTGGTGAATGGAGAGGCAGACAAGGTTTAATGGTTGCAAAAACGTTTACTTACGCCGCCTGTAGTTGCGACGCAGATGGTCCGGT